ACATGTCTGGGTACAAGGAGGGGAGGCAGGCACTAAACAGTTGTTTTAAATCATTCACTTGAGGGTAGAGTGGACATATTACACAAGGTCACACACCTTCAGGATATTTATTGTCCTCTTAGCTTTCCACCTTTAAAATATATGTTATGTATGTATGTATGTATGTATGTATGTATGTATGTATGTATGTATCCGGTTTCTGTGGTTGCCCCTCTATGCAAGAAACTGGGCAGCGAACAAACGAAAACAGAGAATTGCATTAAAAAAAAAAGCCACAACTAAAACTGCACCGGGGCGCAGTAAAATAAAAATGCAAACCAGTAGATACGTGCACCCATCTCAGAGCTCTCAAGCCAATGTCCTGCCCCCAAACAGCGAATGAATGGCATCAGCTTTTACATTTCTACTATTAAACTTTTATTTGCACAGTCAGGGCTCTTCTGCAGAAGAGACTGGACCGATGCACCTGACAGGTTTCCCAAATGGTCCCACCACCCAGGGCTGATTTATTCATGGTGCCACACAAGGGCACATTCTGATCACCGGGTGGGGACAGCAGCCACAAATGGAAATGCAGAGATTTTAAACTGGCGGAGGAGAGGGGGGGATACATCTCTTCAAGGCGGGGACTGGTCTGGCACCGAGAAAAATCAGCCATCATCCCATGACCTTTCTGTGCCTGAGTGGCAGAAATATTGCAGACGTTTTGAAAAATATGATTTCTCTGAGCATCTTTAGGGCCTCCAACAATATGATATATGGTAGATACTGGGAAGGGTTCCAGCCTTCCCTCACAAGAGCCCCTGGGGTCACAAAGCCCCTGGAGTGCTCAAGCTAATGATAATGAAGACAGGTGAAGGTGTGTCAGAGAGCCTGCAGAAGCAGCACCTGAAAACTTTTGCCGAAGGAGGAGGAAGAAATAATGAATGGAAACTACTGTTAATTAATCTCCAAGCTCTCCATTTGCGCTGAAGTTGTTTGTGTGCCTGGTTTAAGAGCAGCAGGGGGCTTTCGGAGCAGGGCTGCATCCACACGGAAAAGCCGGATTGGTGTTAGGCAACTGTGGCAAGGCGGCCACTGGGCGCTGCCTCTTTCTCACCGCTCCGTAATCAGCTGTCCCCACCTCGGAGTCCTCAAACGCTGAAGCCACCTGGATCGATCCTGCCAACCTTGCAGCTTTCTTACCATTTCCACAGCACAGGTGTAGATGAGTTTTTCGGCTGTGACGCTGTTGATTTCATCGACAAAACGCTGCTTGTCGGAGAAAAACTGGTTCAGTTTTTCTGTCAGCTTCTTGCACATAGCAATGCAGAATTTATACCTCTCGTTCAGGTTTTTGACAACTGCAGAGGAGAAATGGGAAGCAAAGGACTGCAGTGAGCTCCAGAAATGCCAGTTTGGCCCCTTGGCTGCTACCAACATGAGAGGCTAAGAGCAGATTTTCTGCTCCCCACGACTTAGACGAAGGTGCAAATCGCCAATACACATCACAACTACCCTCAGTCTTAGCAATCCCTTCATTTAGGACAGGGTTCCTCAACCTTGGCAACTTTAAGACGGGTGGACTTCAACTCCCAGAATTTGCTTAATGCTGGCTGGGGAATTCTGGGAGTTGAAGTCCACCCGTCTTAAAGTCACCAGGGTTGAGGAACCCTGACTTAGGACATCTCTGGATTTAGTTTTGGCTCTGTACTGTTTTAGTTTTGAACCAGAATGGTGCTGAGGAGAGCAGAGAAGGACAAACTTAGCACCCATCTGCTGCTCTTTAAAACAGCCACATCTTTCCCTGGGACTGCAAGACTGCCCTCTGCATCTGCCACGGGATCCAGGCAAAGATGCAGCTACTTAAAAAAGGTTGAAGACAGGTGCATCTGGACCTTTCCAAAACACTGTCTGGAAACAAAGCCCAAATGCTGTTAGCCAACACTAGTTACCTCCTCTGAGGACACGTGACCCATAGTGGCAACCCCCCACAACCAGGCATGGGAGGCATGCAGCCCCAGAACCTTCCCAATTCAGGAGTTGAGATCTGGCAACAAAAATGGCTATTTCTGGTAGCGTCCATAAGTAAGGATGCTAAACTGAAGGCATCTATTTTGAGTAACTCCCCAAATGAAATTTTTGTGTTTATTTCCAACGGCACTCAGACATAAATAAAGGTAGTCCTTGCTTAACAACCACAATAGGGACTATAAAATTTGTTAAGCAGAGTGATCATTAAGTGAGGCATCATGTGACCACACCCGATTTTACAATTTTTGCAGCAGCCATTATGAATCATGTAGTCATTAAGCAAATCACATGGTTCCCCAGTGATTTTGCTTGCTGGAAGCTGGCTGGGAAGGTTACAAATGGCGATCACATGACCCAAGGACACTGCAACCGTTGAGAGCTGGTTGCCAAGCGCCCAGAACATGATCACATGACTGCAGGGGTGGTGCAACGGTTGTAAGTGCGAGGACTGGCCATAAGTAGCTTTTTTTTATGCTGTCGTAACTTTGAACAGTCACTGAATGAATGGTCATTAAGCGAGGACTACCTGTAAAAGCAAAGTGTAGCATTCTGTGATGGAATGGAATTATGAAGGCCAAGATCAGGGAGACAAACATTTTCTTAGCTCACCAGAATCGCGTGGGAGGATCAAGAGGATGAGACTGGCACCACCCAGTTGTACTAATCTGTCTTTCCAGACTGTGTGGCTCAACAAGACTTGGAGCAAAAGAAGAAAAAAAAAAGTCCTGCTAATTGCCTACCCCACTGAAACATAAAGTGGTAACAGGCATGGCTAGGCCAGGATTTTTCAACCTCGACAACTTTAAGATGGGTGGACTTAAACTCCCAGAAGACTGATGTCAGGCCTAGCCCAAGGAACTCCAAGAGACAATGCTAATTCAGTTCAGCT